AAAGACTAAGTTGAGGATTCATCAATACTCATAGTACCAATATTAAATTTAACTCTTCCAACATTAGGGTTAGGGTCTAACTGGCACCATACTAATTTTATAATATAACATTTTAATATTAAGTATAATGAAAATATAATTTTTACTTGCATTGGCTAAGTAGGTTCTGTTTGGTTGATTACCATATGTAACAAAAATATGTATATCTGAGTTATGAATACCCACTGTTTTTATTTTCTCTGAAACCTTAACATCATAGCATGTATCTCCACTCCAATTATACTTAATAGGTTTTTATCTAGGAATTACTTTAATGAGCTTATTCAAGTATGTTTGAGCAGCAAACATAATTTTCTTTAAGTATTCCTTTATTTTAGGAGTAAGTCCTTCACCGTTTTCAGGGTTATCGAGCTCTTTGAAATCAAGAGTGATTCTAATAGGCTAGGGTTCAGAATTCTAAAGTTTTCTGTTTCCATAATTTTCATCAAAGGTTTCTAAGTAATCCTTTGGGACCATTTCGTTCATATCTATCTCATCTTATAGACAAGTATTGACAGCCTATTTGTTAGTATTATGAGCACTTACTAACAAAGCTGTTAAAAGCAGTAAAATATTTAATCTATTCATTTTTTAAAGCTTAATTTGATTTTAAACTTTTTTTTTATTTTATAAATTATGTTAAAATAGTAATATTGAAATCTTGCTTTTATACATGTCTGTGCTCTAAAAATTAATAAATGAGAGACATTTAAAAAATATATTTTCTAATTAATTTAAGCATGAATTATTAATTATTGATTAATTTTTTTCTGATGAATTATAATATCGAGTTTAAAATGGTAAAGTAATGAACCACAATTTATTTATGAAGTAAATGTAAAATCCAAGAATTTAGAGGGGAGGGGGGGGGGGGGTACGAACAAACTTTTTTTGGTACCCTTAAAGTTTTCTGCACTAAAAAATAATTGGTCATTAATATTCCTATTTTTTATAGAACTAACAAATAATATATATAAGTAAATAAATTAATCTAATCTAAATATGTAGATTTTTAGTACATTAAATTTAATTTAATTAAAATGTTAAGTAAGCTTATACTTATTTTACTAGCTCTAAATCTAATAGTAAATTCAATAAGTAACATTTTATTTTTTGAAGGCATTTAAATAAAAATACTACTAATAATACATTTATTTTTAATAATTAAGTTTTATTTTATTAGATAATGTAACTATTCTTGTTTATTTAAGCTATTGTTTATATATTTATAATACTTTAAATTATTTTTGATACTTTTATAACCAATAAGCTAAAACTGTGAATATATATTACTATTAAATGTCAAAAGCAAAGTATATTCTGATAATTTTAATTAGATTTTAAAATTATCGATTTACCACCACTCATTTCTAGATTTATAATATTGAGTAGCTAAGTTTTATGTTTTAATAAATATTTAGTAAGAAGTACATAAAATTTAATTAAATTAAAATATTAAATTTGTTGATAGTAATACATCTAAATAATATTTTATTTTTAAATATTTAAAAAATATAATTTTAATTAGATTATAAAATTATCGATTTACCACTCATTTCTAGATTTATAATATTAAGTTTTATGTTTTAATAAACATTTAGTTATAAGTACATAAAATTTAATTTAATTAAAATGTTAAGCTAGTTGATAGTAATATATACATCTAAGTAATATTTTATTTTTAAATATACAAAAATATAATTTAAACTAAAAATATATATATTTAAAAACAATCAACACTTTTAATATATAATGTAAATAAATTTTATTTAAACTGTTTTTTATATATTTTGAATATTTTAAATTTATTTTTACCCTAAGTTCCACTATATCTACCAATCCCGAATAAAATTTGTTTTAATAAATAGAAAATACATTAAGCTGTATTTAAAATTGTTAAAAAAAGTAAAGCAAGAATAAAAAAAATTTGATTAGAAACCATACAAATATTAGATTACTAAATAGGTAATATCAGGTAAAAGGAACAAAAGCAAATATAAGAAAGAATTTATAAATTAGAAAATAATTTAATGATAATACAGGAATAATAATTATTTATTAAGTGAATATTTATAAACACCATTAAAAATAAGAATATATATAATACTCTCAAAAAAAACATTAAATATTTTATTTTTTTCTTTAAAAATCATTCTTAAATAAATCATTTTTGAGAAAAATATAATTTATTACTTAATGGATTGTGTACTATTTATAGATATTGCTCTTACTAAATGATAATTCAAATAATTATTTAAACTTTTTAATAATTAACTAGTTTTAATAATTTTTAAATTTTTAAATTATGTGGTTATTTTTTATTTTTTTGATAGAACTATTAAGTTTTGCAAATAGATTAATTTAATTTTTATGATAAAATTATAACTTAATACATTTATTAGACTTAAGTCTTATGACTAATTATATTTAAATGTAAAATATCTTTTTTTCCAATAAATTTATTTTTGTTACTTAAATTAAAAATCTTATAGAACAATTTTGTATTAAAAAGTTTTTATTTAATATTAATTAATACTGTAAATAAATTTATTTAGCTTTTATAATTATTTTAAAAAATATTATTTTATTTAATTATTAACTATTTAAATTGGTGTTAAATTGATTTTACAAAAAATTTATTTATATTTAGGGTTTCAAAAACTTTAAAAAGCTAGTAAAGTATATGCATGAATTTAATTATATTTTAAAATTATTAATCCAGTATTCATCTATTACTATCTTATTGGTTATATTTATTTTTTATTTCACAATAATTTGAATGATATATAATTTTTAAAGTTCCTATTAATAAACAAAAAATTGATTACTTTAAACACATTAATTTATGAATGCACATCATTTTAGTTAACTATATAAATTGCAATTTAAATGCAATGCATAAATATAGATTAGAATATTAATACATTGTAAATACTTTTCTTAAGATTTCAAGTAAAAAAACTTCTAAATATTATATATTTATATTATTAGAATTATTATCATTGCAAGAATATATGAAAAATACTTTATTATTAAATTCTCATTTCTTATTCATTAATATTAAAAAATATTTATTGTTTTAATACTATTTAAAAAAATGGTTTTTTAATCGAAATTCCCATTAAATCTATTCTATAATAATATCCAATTATCTAATTTTTTTTATATTGTATTTTATAGTTAATGAAAAAAATTAATATTTATTTTTATAAATCAGTTTGAAACCAAAAATATTTTTTATTTAATTTTAAATCAAGAAAAAATCTTAAGCAAAAAACTAAGTTAAATATTTGAAAATTGTTTTTTTTAAATATTTTAAAGTATTAAAAGTGAATTCTTTTATATTAGATATAAAAGTATAAAAGTGTAATAATGGTAGAGGTAATTTTTCTTTCTATAAAGCAATATAAAAAAATATAAATTTTTAATACCTTCAAAAAAAAGTAGAAAATATATTTTCTTCTATTTTTAATTAGAGCTTTTTTTTAGTACTAGGGGTACCAAAATTTATTTATTTATTTGCTACTAATTATTTAATGTTTTTTTTATGTTAATTGAATAATATTTTGGTTGTGCTAATATTTTTTTAATTCAGATGATAATATATTTGTTAATTAATATTTAATAAGGAACTAAAAAAATTTTTTTATTCAAAAAAGATTTTAATCAATTAACTAACATTATTCACATTTTAACAAAAAAAAATAAAAACAATAATATTTATTATTTATTTATTTAATCAGTGAAAATATTAGATTTCATTAAGGGCCAGTCCAAGTTGCCATAAAACCAGGTAAGTGAGCCTTAAGGTTAATATTTGGATTTGCTATATATTCTTTGATGCCAGGCAAGTTTTCAAATCTTTTTAAATAAGCAGTTAGGGCTGCAGTCATTGCTTAAGGGTATATGTATTATACACGGTTAACCAACTCATAGAAATGAAAATCTGCATAAGTCAATCTCTCCAACAAAAATAACTTGTTTCCTAAAAAATTTGTAAGTTTTTTAAACATATACTCAACTTTTTCTGTATAAACCTTCTCTTTTACTTCATAGAAATCAGGTCTGAAGCAAGTTAAATTGATTTCTTTTGCTATATCTCTGATAACTCCCATTAACTGAGTGACTTTTACTTCTTTATTGGTGCTAGATCCATCAGCTTATAATCCTAAAAGTTAGAATTATTTGTACTTCTTAATTAAGTAGACAGGAATAGCGAAAGACTCAATGAGCTTAACATCTCCATCAATTAAATATGGAAGATTAGGGAATTCTAAACCAAGATTGTCTTTGTCATTTCCAAACCATTCTTCAAGAGAGGCATAAGTTTTATTGGTGTATTTCACTCCTAAATAAGCAAGCAAGAAGCGGATAGGTTAGCCAAAGCCTCTAATGTTCCAATAGCCGAAAGTAATCATTATTATTCTTATGAAATTTAATTTAAGTTAATTGTTTTTTATTTTTTGATTTATATTATCTACTTGACAATTATTTGAGCATATTTAAATTGAATTTTGTTAATTTCTGATAATTAACATATAAATTATTAAGTATCCTCTTTAATATCATATTTTTTAACTTAATTTTAATTATTTTTCTATAAATTTTCTTAATTTATTCTATTTTTTTGAAATCTGATAGTTTTTTGTTTTTTGTCGAAGGAAATTGAATATAAAGTCTATAAATTCTGATCAGAAGTTTATTCACGGAAAATATGAATTTAAATAATTTGAAATTAAAAATACTCAATTCTATTTTTGTAATAATAAATATAAAATTTCAAATATTTGCCCATACTAAACCTATTTATAAGAGTTTTTTAAATATTAAAAGATACATATATAATTCAGAACTCTACCAATATGCCAAAATTCATAAATATATTTTTTGTATGAAACTAATTACCTTATCTAATGAATTGCTTTAAATAAAAAGTCGAATTTAAAATATTAACCATATGATTTTTTGAAATATTTAGAGCTTATATTTGATTTTCAGTAAAACAGAAAAATTAAAGAATAATTAATTTTCTTTTTTTTGAATTTTACCTAATTTTCTGAAAAAATCTGATTTTTATGTGGCTCCTTTAATTAAATTAATAAGCTTATACAACTTAATTATTTAAAAAAATTGCACTCATTTAATTCAAATTTTTTACATGTTTTAGTTATAAATGGTTTATAAATTTAAATTTATTTTATGATAATAGCTTATAACAGTTTTAAAATAATACAATTAAGAAATTAAAAACAAAATTTTATTTCAATAACATTTTGTTTTGATTATATATATCCAAGCTTTCGAGATTTCTTTAAAAAGTTATTTAAAAATTTACAAATTATTTGATACATTTGACAAATTTAGGGTTATTTTCAGATTTATTTAATGAGTTATTTATTAATTTACCAAAATATATAAATATAATGATAATCATAAATCTATCTATCTATATTTTAGGTTAAATTATTCTATTACAAAATATTATCATATAAAAAATATATATTAATATTTATTATTCAAATATTTTATTTGATCTATTTTGACCATAAGCTTATTTTCAATAATTTAATTAAATATTTAAGTCTACTAATCTTTTTTATTTAAGACATTTTTTCTTTATTTTCAACTGCTCTGATCTACTGATTATGTTTTCACTTATAATATAAATTAATCAAAATGGTTAAAAAAATTCAGAATAATGTGTGAAATTAAAATTTATATTTAAAATCAATTAATATAAAATAATATAAGCAGAATAAAAAAGATAAAATAAATCTAATAAAAACCTAATCAATAAATAAATAATTAAAAAAACTTATAATTAAACCAAAAGTTAAAAATGTAAAAATTGCTTAAATTGGCAAATAAAGAAGAAGAAAAAATATTGTAAAAAAGAAAAATAAATCAAATAAAAAATTTTAAATAAATAAATCCAAAAAAAAATTGATTATTTTAAATCTATTTTTTGATTTAAAAATATCACATCGAAAACAAATAAACTGCTTCTACCTTAGATTAAGTGTTAACTTTTAGAGATTAGAGCACTTTGATATAGTAGAACCTAAGCTTTAAGAACCTTAATTACCAATTTAATTTCCACTTTTTGTATATTGATGAAAAAAAAATAATTAATTAGTTAGTAATAAGGAAAAAATGAAGAAATAAAAAAATTTTTAATAAAAGCAAAAGTGAAGAAAAACAAAACAAAATAGTTAAATAAATCGAATAAAGATCTAATAAATAAATTAAAATGTTTTATTCTTTTATTTGTATATTAAAAAATATCAAAATCTAAATAAATTATTCTTACAAAAGATTAAATGCCAAGTTTTAGAGATTAGTGCATTTTGATAAAGCACAACCTAAGCTTGATACACCTTCAACACGAATTTAATTACATCTTTTTAAATATTTAAGAAAAAGTGAAAAATTAATTAATTAGTTAGTTAGTTAGTTAAAAGTATAAAATTAAAGAAAATTAAGATTTTATAAAAAATAAATAAGTTTAGTAATGATAGCAAAATTTAAAAATGAATAAATGATTCAAATTAACAAAAAAAGAAGAAAGAAAAAACTGCAAATAAAATAAAATAGAAAATTAATCAAATAAATAAATGTAAAGATCAAGTTATTTTTTTAAATCCATTTGTAAATAAAAAAATATCACAATCACAATATAAAACAAAATAACTGTTTGTTTTTACTCAAGATTTAGAGTCAAATTTGAGAGATTAGTGCACTTTTCTAAACCAAAACCCAGGCCGATTGCACCTTTGTCATTAATTTAATTTTCCCTAATTAAATATTGAAGAAAAAAATAGTTAATTAATTTATGATAATGAAAAGATGAAGAAAAAATTGGAAATGATAAGAAATGGATAAATTTAAAATAAAAATAAATGATTAAAATGAAAAGATATTTAAAAATAAAAAAATAAAAATAAAATAAAATAATATTTAAAAATAAATAAATTAAATAAATGCCTAATATAATAATAAGCTATAATAGCTTTATTGTTTTAAATTAATTTTTATATTTAAAAATATCGCATCCAAAAAAATAAACTGTTTATACAATAAATTAAGTGTCAATTTTGAGAGATTAATGCATTTTGCTAAAGCAGAACCTAAGCCTGATGAACCTTCATCACCAATAAAATTGGAACTTTTTAAATATTCAAATAAAAGTAAATAATTAATTAGAAGGAGAAATTTAAGAAAAAATTTGAAATAATTTGAAATGAGTAAATTAATTACCGTAATATATATACCTCAATCCTCGGTCCTCGTTTTATTGACAGTGACAACTGACGAGAATTTTTTCCGATATTTAGAGTTTCCTCGTCAGTGTTGCTCGTCATTAAAATTGAGGTATTACGGTAATTAATTAATAAAGAAATCAAAAATTGAAAATGAAAAAATAAATGAGTTAAATATCAAAGAAAGAAAGAAAGAAAGAAAGAAAGAAAGAAAGAAAGAAAAAATAAATAAATGTTAATAAATTAAAAGAATCAAAATATAAAAGAAACAATATTTTTTTTTACCAAAGATCAAATGTTAATTTTGAGAGATTATAACCATTTTTTAGAACAGAACCTAAGCCTGATGCACCTGCACTACCTATGAAATTAGAGCTTTTGATATGATGAAGATAAAATATTTAATTTTTGGTCTGTGTAACAAAAAAATAACAAAGAATTAAAATAACAAATAAAGAAAAAAAAACACATTCATTTTAAAATAAATCAAATAAGTAATTAAAAAAATTTTTTTTTTTAATTCATTTTTATGTTAAAAAATATCAAAATCTAAAACAATTAAACTATTTTTACGAAAGATTAAGTGTCAAATCTGAGAGATTAGTGCAATTTGCTAAAGCAGAGCCTAAACCCGATGCACCTTCACCATTAATTTTATTGTAACTTTTTAAATATTTTAAGAAAAAAATATTATTAATTCTTAGCTAGTAACAAAAAATGAAGAAAAATAGTGAAATAATAGAATTGAATAAATTAGTATTGAAAGCAAAATTTAAAAAAAAAAAAAACAGATAAAAAATAAAGAATAAAAAGAAAAACAAATCATAAAAATCTTTTCAATAAATAAATTAAAAGAGTTAGTTTGTTATATTGTTTTAAATTCATTTTAATATTTAAAAATATTACAATTAAAAACGAATAAACTATTTTTACCTAAGATCAATTGTCAAATTTGAGAGATTAGTGCACAGTACTAAAGTAGAGCCTATGCCAGAAGAGCCTTTATCACCGATTTTATTCGAACTTTTAAAATATTAAAGAAAAAATAAAAAAGTAACTAATTAGTTAATTTTAAATAAAAAATGGAATTAATTATAAGTTATGAAAAAATTAATAATGAAAGCAAAAGAAAGTTAAAAATTAATTAAATTAAATTTTTAAAAACAAGAAAAATAAACATCTTTAAATAATTTAATAAAATTGTTTTATTTTTTTAATTCATCTTAATTTTAAAATATATCACAATCCATCCAAAATATATAAACTATTTTTACAAAAGACCAAGTGTCAAATTTTAGAGATTAATGCAATTTCCTATAGCAAAACCTAAGCCTGATGCACTTTCATCACCAATTTAATTGGAACTTTTTAAAAATTGATGAAAAAGTATTTATTTAGAAAGAAAAATCATGAAAAAACTTGAAAAATAGAAACGAAAAAATTAATAATGAGAGTAAAATCTCAAAACTAAAATTGAGTTAAATTAATAAAAAAAGGAAAAAAATACAAAGATAATAAAAATGAAAAATAAATCAAATTAAAAGCTAATAATAATTAATAAATTAATAGAATCTGATGATATTAAATTCAATTTTATATTCAAAAACAAAAATCACAATCAATAGCAAATAAATTTTTTTACTTAAGATCAAGCTTCAAATTTGAGAGATTAGTGCACTTTCCTAAGCCAGAGCCTAAGCCTAAGGCACCTTCGTCACCAATTTTATTGTAACTTTTTAAAAATTGAAGAAAAAATAAATAGTCAATTAGTTGGTTTGAAGGAAAAAATGAAGAAAAATAAATAAGAAGGAATAACAGAAATTAATAAATTAATAATGAAAATAAAAATTAAAAAAAAACAGATTAAAAAATCAAACAAAAATTTAATAAATAATTTAAAGAGTTTGTTGATTGTTTTAATTGATTTTTTATGAAATAAAATCATAATCAAAAACAAATAAACTGTTTTTTATTTACCCAAGATCAAGTGTCAGATTTGAGAGATTAGTGCACTTTCCTAACCAAAAACCTAAGCTTAATGCACCTTCATCACCGATTTTATTGTAGCTTTTAATTAATGAAGAAAATATATATCATTAATTAATTAATTAGTTAGTTAGTTATATGGAAAAAACGAAAAAAAAATATGAAATAGTAAGAAATTAATTAATAATGATAGTTAAATTTGAAAATTATAATTAAAGTTAAATTAACAAAGAAAAAAAACACAGACATAATAAAATAGAAAATTCAATAAAATAAAAGACTAACAAATTTCTAGATTAAAAAATTTTTACTATTTTGATATCAATTTTATATTTCAAAATAACACAATCAAAAATAAAAAAACTATTTTTACAAAAGATCAAGTGTCAATTTTGAGAGATTGTTATACTTTTCTAAACAAGAACCTAAGTTTAATGAGCCGATTGCACCAATTTAATTTCTACTTTTTAAATATTGAATAAAAAATATTTTATTAATTAGTTAATTAGAAAGAAAAAAGAACAAAAATTAAGAATTAATAATAAATGAATAACTTAATAGTGAAAGCAAAATTAAAATTAAAAATAAAGAAATGAGATAATTTAATAAAGAAAAAGAAAAAAAATTGAAGCAGAGTAAAAAGAAAAATAAAAAAATAAAAAACTATAACATCTATAAATTTATTGAGTTTAAATATATTCTATTAAATTTATTTTTATTTTAAAATATAACACAATCTAAAACAAAAAAGCTGTTTTTACCTAAGATGAAGTGTCAAATTTGAAAGGTTAGTGCACTTTTCTAAAGCAGAACCTAAGCTTGATATACCTTCATCGTTAATTTAATTAGACCTATTTAAAGGTTGAAGATATATATATATATATTATTAATTAGTTAGATAGATAGATAGATAGATAGATAGATAGATAGATAGATAGATCGTAATTTAGGTAGAAGTAAGAAAAAAAAGAAATAATTTAAAATAAAAAAATTGATTATCAAAGCAAATGTTGAAAATGAAAAAATGAGCTTAATTGAGAAAGAAAGAAAAAACATCATAAAGAATCAAAAAAGAAAAATAAAAACAAATAAATAAATTATAAATTTTTAATTGTTTTAATTTCATTTTTATATTAAAAATACCATAATCAAAAAATAAATAAACTGTTTTACTAGAGTTCAAGTGTCAACTTTGAGAGACTAGAACACTTTACTAAAGCATAACCTAAGCTTGATTAACTTCTATCATTAATTTAATTAGGTCTTTTAAGTATTGAAGATAAATATTAATTTATTAATAAGTTAGTTAGTTTAAATGAAGAAAAAACATGAAATAATAAGAAAATAATTTAAGTCATAACTCAACTAAAAGTTGAAAATAAATGGAAAATATTTAAATTAACATAATAAAAAAAATATTTTTATAATTAAGTTGATAATTTCTAGATTAGAAAAATTATTTAGCAAATAAATTGAAAGTTTAATTAAAAAAAATTAATGATAACAATATTAATAAATTAAATATATAACCTTTGAACAATATGGAGAACCTAATGATACTAAAGTTAAGAGTTTTAAAACTTTTTTTATTAATAAAAATAATTTAAAGAATATTCATAAAAAAATAAATAATTACTTCTAAAAGATCTTAAAAATATTGTTTTTATTTTATCATTTATTTATTTTTGTAAAATATTGAGATTTATATAATTAAATTATTAATTATTAATATTTTAAAAGATTAATTTGATTATATCTCAAATTAATTTGGATTGATTATAAAAAAGAATAAAATATTTAAAATGTATTCAAGTTTAATTTTGGGAAGGGATATATATCAAAAAAGTTAGTTTAACAATCATTCATTCATTATTATATATATTTCTATTTCAAAAACATACTTAAAAATATAGTAGAAATTAGAGATGAGTATTCTTTTGTTGAAAATATTCAAGTAAATATATTACTTAAATTTTTATAAGACAGTATGTACATTGAAGATTTTTCAGCTTTAGTCCAGTAATGAAAGGTTATATTATAATATTTTAAATATCTCTTACTTTATTTGATCCTCTGTCAGAAAGTTGGAAACCCAAATTTTTTTATTAAAGAGTAGCAATAAGGCAAATATTCAATTATATTAAAGTTTATAGTATATTAATATATTATTAATTATTATATTTTGGTTTTTAAATAATTTTTAAATTAAGATTTTAGTCTATTAAAATGTTGGCAAGATGTTGGACAAATTCGATTATAAAAATTTAAAATAAAATATTTTGTGGTAAAATATAAATAAATGAGTGAAATAAATATTTATTTTTAATATTTGTGAAAAAGAAATAGATAAATATAATTATAAATATTAATATTTTTTTAAGTAATCAATTATTTAAATTCAAAGTAGAATACATAATTGTATAGTAGCTAGTATTAAGCTAAATGAAACTAAATTTTAAAATGTATAAAATATACATTAAGATTTCATTATTTCATTTTAAAATTAGCTCATTTTTAATTTTTTAGGGCATGGAGTACAAGATCCAATAGTATTTAAAGTAGCTTATGATGGATTTCCAAAATAATCTTTCTAGCATTTACAAGATTAGCTTCTAGGATCAAAATATACTGCTAAGCTATTATCATTGCAAATACAATTACTTTAATCGTTATTTATATAAGATCCAGAAGGACACAATATGCATTTATAAGAAGTAGAACTATTGGAGTAAAAGCCTTATGGACAAGGAAAACAACCTGATGGAGCATTTTATGAAGTAGCAACATATCCAGAATAACCATTTTTACAGTTGCATGATTAGACTTAAGATGATAAAGGAGTTGCATTTTAATCATAGCAAGTGCAATATCCTTATTAAGAATTTTTAGGGTTATAAGAATTACTAGGGCAAGGAAGGCATTATGCAGCGGAGGATTATATTCCTTTAGATGATTAAATTGCAGGAGATACCATAAAGTAGTTTTCTAAGCATATAGAACACTGAGAAATATCACCTTACACATTTGAAACTTCTAAATTACCACTTCCTAATGGACAAACTAAACATTAAGCAGCCACTCCTTAATTATTATTATTTTATGAAGCAGCTATTGAGCTTTAGGCCATATAATAATTTATTGCACAAGAGTTGCATACAGATTGATCAACTGTTTAAGCTCCAGTACTAAGAGTTCCATTAGGGCACGGTATGCATTATGCAGAATTTTGAGTAGGAGATTCAGTAGAAGGATTTTTCATATAATAGTTTTGTAAACAAATACTACAACTAGAAATTTAAAAATTATCTATATTTGCTTGATTAGTTCCTGATCCTTGTGGGCATTAAATACAGGTAGGTACTTAATTCATATTAACGTATGCTTAACTATTTTTCTCATTGTAATAAAAGTTTGGTAAACAAATATCACAACTTTAAATATTAAATTGAAATGCATATTATGGTTATGAAGAAGTAGAATTAGTTTAGCACTGTTAGCATTATATAAAAGGCAAACTACTAAAATAACTTTAGTTGCAAATACATTATTAGTATTAAGTAGAAAAAGAAGAGTTTTAAGGACATGTCTACTAAGTTAAAACTTGACTAATTATAATTTAGGATATAATTGCTATATATAAAGTGATCATTTCTATCAATTATTTTGTTTATTTCTTTTATTTGATTATTTATGCAATTGTTTGTTCTATTATTGATAAACAAATTAAATTTTGAGCTTATTAGAAATGAAAAATTTAAATAATGGTAGGTAAGTAATAAATAAATAAGTTATTTCATTTAGATATTCAAAATTTAAATAAAATAAGTATATAAATATCTAATTAGATAATATTTAAAAATCTAATCTAATCTACTTTGAAAAAAAGTATATTTTTAGTTTATGTTTATATTTATTGTTTTTTGATTTCTTTACTATTTTTAGGTATATAAAAGAACTAAAGAGATTGATAAAATATTAATTTATTTATAAATAAGATAATTTTAATTTTTATTTAAAACATAGAATTATAGAACAACAACCTAATTCGTAGCTAAAACATCTTGAAAAAAAATTCTAATTAGAGATTTTATGTAAAATGATTATAAATGTTAATTTGGTCTTAGGCGCTAGACCACCTTTTTCTTTATATATTATAAGCTATTTATTAACTTATAAAAATATGAATTATAAAAATATAAAAAACAATCATTAAATCTATCTTTTATTAAGGTTAATAAAACTATTTCAAAATATTATATCATAAAACATATAATATTCAATTATTCAAACATTTAATATTTATTCATCTTTTTTCACTACTTGTTTATCATCAATCAGAATTATATTTTAAAGACGACTAATCTTTTTGATTTAAGACACTTACTTTCTACTTTGAATTTTTATTATTCATTCAAATAGTTATATCTTTTATTATAAATTTGTGTAAATTTTGAATTAACATTTAATAGAATAAACTTTTAAATTAAAAATTTAAATTAAAAAATAAAATAATATTACTAGATAAAAAAATTAAAAAAATAAATCATAAAAAAGCTATCAAATAAATTAAAAGAGCTTTATTGTTTTAGATTAATTTTTGTAATTAAAAATATCACAATCCAAAATAAATAAACTGTTTTTACTAAAGATCAAGTATCAAATTTGAGAGATTAATGCACTTTGCTAAAGAAGAACCTAAGCCTGATGCACCTGTAGCACCAATTTAATTTTCACTTTTTAAATATTGAAGAAAAAATAAATAAATAATTAATTAGTTATTTAGAAGGAAAAAATGAAGAAAAAATATGAAATAATAAGACTAATGAAAAATAAAAGCAAAAGTTAAAAATAATTAAATAAAATGATGAGCTAAATTAACAAAGAAAGAAGAAATAAAACCAAACAAGCAAGTACAATAAAAAGAAAAAGAAAAATGAGCTTTATTATTTTAAATTTGTTTTATAATTAAAAATATCACAATCCAAAATAAATAAACTGTTTTTACTAAAGATCAAGTGTCAAATTTGAGAGATTAATGCACTTTGCTAAAGAAGAACCTAAGCCTGATGCACCATCATCACCAATTTAATTGTTACTTTTTAAATATTGAAGAAAAAATAAAAAATTAATTTGTTATTTAGAAGGAAAAAAAGAAGAAAAAATATGAAATAATAAGACTAATGAAAAATAAAAGCAAAAGTTAAAAATAATTAAATAAAATGATGAGCTAAATTAACAAAGAAAGAAGAAATAAAACCAAGCAAGCAAGCACAATAAAAAGAAAAAGAAAATAGAACTTTATTATTTTAAATTCGTTTTATAATTAAAAATATCACAATTTAAAATAAATAAACTGTTTTTACTAAAGATCAAGTGTCAAATTTGAGATATTAATGCACTTTGTTAAAGCAGAACCTAAGCCTGATGCAACTGTTGCACCAATTTAATTTCCACTTTTTAAATATTGAAGAAAAAATAAATAATTAATTTGTTATTTAGAAGGAAAAAATGAAGAAAAAATATGAAATAATAAGACTAATGAAAAATAAAAGCAAAAGTTAAAAATAAATAAATAAAATGATGAGCTAAATTAACAAAGAAAGAAGAAATAAAACTAAACAAGCAAGCACAATAAAAAGATAAAGAAAAAAGAACTTTATTGTTTTAAATTTGTCATATAATTAAAAATATCACAATTTAAAATAAATAAACTGTTTTTACCCAAGCAAAAGTGTCAAATTTGAGAGATTAATGCACTTTGCTAAAGCAGAACATAAGCCTGATGCACCTGTTGCACCAATTTAATTTCTACTTTTTAAATATTGAAGAAAAAATAAATAATTAATTAATTAGTTATTTAGAAGGAAAAAATGAAGAAAAAATATGAAATAATAAGACTAATGAAAAATAAAAGCAAAAGTTAAAAATAAATAAATAAAATGATGAGCTAAATTTATAAAGAAAGAAGAAATAAAATCTAGCAAGCATAATAAAAAGAAAATGAAAATAGAGTTTTATTATTTTAAATTCGTTTTATAATTATAAATATCACAATTTAAAATAAATAAACTGTTTTTACCCAAGCGAAAGTGTCAAATTTGAAAGATTAATGCACTTTGCTAAAGCAGAACCTAAGCCTGATGTACCTTCATCACCAATTTAATTCAAACTTTTTAAATATTGAAGAAAAAATAAACAATTAATTAATTAGTAATTAAGAAGGAAAAAATGAAGAAAAAATATGAAATAATAAGACTAATGAAAAATAAAAGCAAAAGTTAAAAATAATTAAATAAAATGATGAGCTAAATTAACAAAGAAAGAAGAAATATAAGCTAGCAAGCATAATAAAAAAAAAAGAAAATAGAGCTTTATTGTTAAATTAGTTTTACAATTAAAAATATCACAATCAAGAATAAATAAACTGTTTTTACTATAGATTAAGTGTCAAATTTGAAAGATTAATGCACTTTGCTAAAGCAGAACCTAAGTCTGATGTACCTTCTTCACCAATTTAATTGTTACTTTTTAAATATTGAAGAAAAAATAAATAATTAATTAATTAGTTATTTAGAAGGAAAAAATGAAGAAAAAATATGAAATAATAAGACTAATGAAAAATAAAAGCAAAATTTAAAAATAATTAAATAAAATGATGAGCTAAATTAACAAAGAAAGAAGAAATATAAGCTAGCAAGCATAATAAAAAGAAAAAGAAAATAGAGCTTTATTGTTAAATTTGTTTAACAATTAAAAATATCACAATCAAAAATAAATAAACTGCTTTTACTAAAGATCAAGTGTCAAATTTGAAAGATTAATGCACTTTGATAAAGCAGAACCTAAGCCTGATGCACCTGTTGCACCAATTTAATTTGTACTTTTTAAATATTGAAGAAAAAATAAAAAATTAATTTGTTATTTAGAAGGAAAAAATGAAAAAATAAGATTAATTTAATTAATAATTAGTTAAACTAATAAATAAAGAAAAAATTAAGCAAGCACAATAAAAAGAAAAAGAAATCAAATAAATTAAAAGAGCTTTAATATTTTAAATTAATTTTTATAATTAAAAATATTACAATCCAAAATAAAAAAATTGTTTTTATTAAGTATAAGTGCTAATAGCAAAAAATGAAGAAAAAATATCAAATAATAAAAAATAAATAATAAATAATTCAAATTTGAAATTAAAATTAAAGTGAAATAGCGAACATTTTTGTATTAATAGAAATAAATGAATAGTGATGAGAATTTCTATTATAAAAATTATTTTTTTAAATAAATTTAAAGTTAAAATAAAAAATTTTTTAATATTTTTATTTAAATATACTTTAGATCAATATGGAGAACCTAATGAGATTAAAGTGAAGAGTTTAAAAACTTTTTTATTAATAAAAAAAATTTAAAGGATATTAATAAAAAAATAAATAATTACTTCTTTTAATTCTTTGTATTATTTAATCTATTACATTATTTATTTTTTTTTTCAAAAATATTGAGTAGCAATTTATTGAATTTAATTAATTAATAAATATAGTAATTATCAAATATTAATTTATAAATTTGCTTTTATGAAGAGATATCACAAAAAAATAAAATTAATATTGATTATTAAATCTTAATATTATTATTTAAAACATTTACTTAAAAATATAGTAGGTATTAGAGATGGGCAGTTAGTCATATTTGAAAAAATTCTAGTAATTAATTAATGTCCTTAAATTTAATAAAAATAATGTTAAATAGTAGATTTTTATCTTTTATTCAAGTAATGATGGGAATAATTATAATAAAATTCAGAGAGTGAAGATAGGTAATCTATTAATATGCTCATATCCTCGATATTATTTTTAAATAACCATTTTCTAATAGTTTACCCTGTTTTTTATGAGTTTAAAAATTTTTTATAACATTTATAAATCTAAATATTTGGATTATCAAAAAATTTTAATTTATTGAAAATTGAAGGAATTTTCTTCAAGTTATTATAATTTCTTATTATATGTTATTAGGATTTTTGACGTTAATACATTTTATTACGATTAATCCTAAAAAAATACAAAACATAAAAATCATAAATATTTGGTGATATAAGAAAAATCCTAACAGCAACTACCTTATGAATATGATTGATAGATGGATAATATTTAAGATTAAAATATAATGCATATAAAAGCTTGGTATTTAAATAATTAATTTAATAAGATATAATATAACACTAAAATTTTCAAATTATTTGATCGTTTTTGGAGATACAGAGGGTTTGTTTGCTTTGAGGAATTAATTAATTGAACTAAATTTAATTTTTAAATTTTTTATATTTTATAAATAATTTATTTACTTCCAAAAATATGATCATATTTATATATATAAAATCAATAATAAAATCTATCTATATATCTATTTTTATTTTAGGTTAAAAAAACTTTTTCAAAATATTAAAAAATAAAATATAAAACATTATTCAAACATTTAATATTTATTCATCCTTTTTTCGCCACTTACTTATCATAAGAATTATATTTCAAAGACAACTAATCTTTTTGATTTAACGCACTTGCTTATTACTTTGAATTCTTATGTTACATTCTCTGAGCTAAAAATTTTATAATAAATTAATGTAAATTTTAAATAAATATCAAAATAGAATAAACTTTTAAATTATAAATTATTTCTTAAATTTATAAATAATATACATTTGTGGAATAAAAAAGATAAAAAATAAATCAAATAAATTCAATTAGCTATTTTGTTTTATATTCATTTTTATAGTTTAAAATATCACAATCCAAAACAAATAAACTGATTTTACCCAAGGTAAAGTGCCAAATTTGAGAGATGAATGCAATTTGCTAAAGCAGAACCTAAGTCTGATGCACCTTTATCACCAATTTTATTCCTACTTTTTAAATATTGAAGAAAAAATATATCATTAAATAGTTAATTAGAAGGAAAAAATGAAGAAAAAATATGAAATAATAAATAAGATTAATTAATTAATAATAAAAGCAAAAGTTGAATATAAAATGATGAGCTAAATTAACAAAGAAAGAACAAAAAAAAAGCAAGCACAATAATAAGAAAAAGAAAAAAGAGCTTTATTGTTTTTAATTAGTTTTTATTTACAATTAAAAATATCACAATCTAAAACAAATAAACTGTTTTTACTGAAGGTCAAGCGTCAAATTTGAGAGATTAATGCAATTTGCTAAAGCAGAACCTAAGCCTGATGCACCTTCGTCACCAATTTAATTTTCACTTTTTAAATATTGAAGAAAAAATATATCATTAAATATTTAATTAGAAGGAAAAAATGAAGATAAAATATGAAATAATAGAAAGAACAAAAAAAAAAAGCAAGCACAATAAAAAGAAAAATATAAAAGAGCTTTTTTGTTTTTTATTAATTTTTATAGTTTAAAATATCACAATCCAAAACAAATAAGCTATTTTTACCGAATGTCAAGTGTTAAATTTGAGAGATTAATACAATTTGCTAAAGCAGAAACTAAGCCTGAAGCACCTTGATCACCAATTTAATTGTAACTTTTTAAATATTGAAGAAAAAATAATAAAATATGTCATTAAATAGTTAATTAGAAGGAAAAAATGAAAAAAAAATATGAAATAATAAGATTAATTAATTAATAATAAAAGTAAAAGTTAAAAATAAAATAATGAGTTAAATTAACAAAGAAAGAACAAAAAAAAGCAAGCTCAATAAAAAGAAAAAGAAAAAAGAGCTTTTTTGTTTTTAATTAGTTTTTATAATTAAAAATATCTCAATCAAAAACAAATAAACTATTTTTACGTAAGATCAAGTATCAAATTTGAGAGATTAATGCAATTTGCTAAAGCAGAACCTAAGCCTGATGCACTTTCATCACTAATTTAATTTCCACTTATTAAATATTGAACAAAAAATATATAATAAAATAGTTTATTAGAAGGAAAAAATGATGAAAAAATATGAAATATTAATATTAATTAATAATAAAAACAAAAGTTGAAAATAAAAATGATGAGTTAAATTAATAAAGAAAGAACAAAAAAGAAAAGCAAGCGCAATAAAAAGAAAAAGAAAAAAGAGTTTTATTGTTTTTAATTAGTTTTTATAATTAAAAATATCACAATCAAAAACTAATAAACTTTTTTTACCCAAGGTAAAGTGTCAAATTTGAGAGATTAATGCAATTTGCTAAAGCAGAACTTAAGCCTGATGCACCTTCATCACCAATTTAATTAAAACTTTTTAAATATTGAACAAAAAATATAAAATTAAATAGCCATTTAGAAGGAAAAATGAAGAAAAAATATGAAATAATAAGATTAATAATAAAAACAAAAGTTGAAAATAAAATGATGAGTTAAATTAATTAAGAAAGAACAAAAAAAAAGCAAGCACAATAAAGAGAAAAAGAAAAAAGAGCTTTATTGTTTTTAATTAGTTTTTATAATTAAAAATATATCGCTATCCAAAAAAAAAAAAACTGTTTTTACGTAAGAAAAAGCGCCAATTTTGAGAGATTAATGCAATTTGCTAAAGCAGAACCTAAGCCTGATGCACCTTGATCACCAATTTAATTGTAACTTTTTAAATATTGAAGAAAAAATGTATCAATAAATAGTTAATTAGAAGGAAAAAATGAAGAAAAAATATGAAATAATAAATAAGATTAATAATAAAAGCAAAAGTTGAAAATAAAATGATGAGTTAAATTAACAAAGAAAGAACAAAAAAAAGTAAGCATAATAAAAACAAAAATAAAAAAGAGCTTTTTTATTCATTTTTATAGTTTAAAATATCACAATCAAAAACAAATAAACTATTTTTACCCAAGGTAAAGTGTCAAATTTGAGAGATTAATGCAATTTGCTAAAGCAGAACCTAAGCCTGATGCACCCATTACACCAATTTAATTAAAACTTTTTAAATATTGAAGAAAAAATATTTAATTAAATAGTTAATTAGAAGGAAAAAATGAAATTAATAATAAAAGCAAAAATTGAAAATAAAATGATGAGTTAACTTAACAAAGAAAGAACAAAAAAAAGCAAGCAAGCACAATAAAAAGAAAAAGAAAAAAGAGCTTTTTTGTTTTTTCATTTAAAATATCACAATACAAAACAAATAAACAGTTTTTACCGAAGGTCAAGTGTCAAATTTGAGAGATTAATGCAATTTGCTAAGGCATAACTTAAGCCTGATGCACCTATTGCACCAATTTAATTTTCACTTTTTAAATATTGAAGAAAAAATATATCATTAAATAGTTATTTAGAAGGAAAAAATGAAGAAAAAATATGAAATAATAAGATTAATTTATAATAAAAGCAAAAGTTGAAAATAAAATGATGCGCTAAATTAACAAAGAAAGAACAAAAAAAAATAAGCACAATAAAAAGAAAAAAAAAAGAGATTTTTTGTTTTCTATTCATTTTCATAGTTTAAAATATCACAATCCAAAACAAATAAATTATTTTTACCCAAGGTAAAGTGTCAAATTTGAGAGATTAATGCAATTTGCTAAAGCAGAACTTAAGCCTGATGCACCTTCATCACCAATTTAATTGTAACTTTTTAAATATTGAAGAAAAAATATATCATTAAAGAGTTAATTAGAAGGAAAAAATGAAGAAAAATAATAAAATAATATGGATTAATTAATAATTAGTAAAACTAACAAAGAATGAAAAAAAAGATATCGTTTTAATAAAATCAATAAGTAAAAATGCATGATAATTTCTATAATAAAAATTATTTATTTAAAAAAATTGAAAGTATTTAAAAAATATTAATAAATAATAAGAATAATATAATTAATTAAATATACTTTAGATTAATATCGAGAACCTAATGAGATAAAAGTGAAGAGTTTATAAACTTTTTTTATTAATAAATATAAATTTAAATGATATTAATAAAAAATAAATAATTACTTCTTCTAATTTGTTATATTCTTTAATCTATTATATCATTTTTTTTTTTCAATAATGTTGAATTGCAAATTAAGGATTTTAATTAATTATAAATGGATAAAAAGAACAAGTAAAATTTAATAATTAATTATCAAATATTAATTTATAAATTTGGTTATATGAAGAGATATCACAGAAAAATTAATTTAACATTAATTATTTAATCTTAATATTTGTATTTAAAACATATAATTAAAAATATATATAGAAGGAATTAGAGATGCACAGTTCGTCATATTTGAAAAAATTCTAGTAATTAATTAATTAATGTGAATAATTAACTTGGGATGATTTATTTTTTCCAAAAATCCTGAGTCCAAGTTCACTTTTTTCTATATATCTTATTAATAGTGAATTTATAAATTCAAATAATTTATTTTTTCTTTTTATACACTTATAATTAACTAAATTTTCATAAATTGATATTCAGTATTTTTGAAAAAAAATAAATGAGACAATAGATTAAATAAAATAACAAATTAGAAAAATAAATTATTTAATTTTTAATCAATAAACTTTAAATTTATTTTTATTAATATAAAAAGTTTTTAAACTCTTCACTTTAATCTCATCAGGTACTACATATTGATTTAAATATTAAAAAATCATAGATATCTTTTTAATAATAGCTTATTATATTGTTAAAAAAGTGAATAAATACTATTTTTCTCTATGATTAATTATTTAATTGAAAATATTTTTAAAATGTTTTTTTTTTAATTTTAAATGACAACACAAAATTAATTAATTAATTCATTCATAACATACATTTTATTTCACATTTATAACATAAAATTACTTTCAAAATTCAACAATTATTTTTTTTGCATTCTTCAAAGAATTTTTCAATTAATCTTAAATTTTTTACTTTTACATATCAGTTAAATTATTATCCCTAATAATTAATAAATATTAATTAATTATTAGAAAAGAAAATAAATTAAAATAAAAATAATAAGAGTTAAATTATTTTATAAATTAAATAAAAATTTGTTGAATAAATAACTATATTAATTCATTAATAAATTAAATACGAAAGATCAAGTTCTAAATTAGTGATATTCTAACACATTTCTAAAGCTGAAACTATTATTTTAGCTAAATCTAGATTAATATTACAACCTCTATTAAATTAAATAATTAAAGTTTAGATGAATTTATTGAGAATGACATAGAAAAATTTTAATTTTATTTCTATTAAATAAAAAAAAATTATTCTCTATAAAATAAATTTAATTTTACCTGAGAAAAAGATATAAATTTGTAATTTTCTGGCACTTTTGCAAAGCTAAAACAATTAACATAATTCCCTCTGGTTTAATCACATTGTAACTAATAAATATTAATTAAAAAACAAATTAAAATTAAAGTTTATAAAAATAATAATTTAATAAAATAAATAATAAAAAAATTAGAAAATACCAAAAATAAATTACCAAAGCGAAAGAAATAAATCAGTAATATTCTTATATTTTTTTAAAGATTCTGAAATTTATTTGATTCCTTCTAACTGAATATTATTGTTTCTTATAAATAAATAAATAATATTCAGATTAAATGTACTATGAATAAAATTTATATTTTTTTATTAAATAAAGAAAAAGTAAATAATTCTAAAACATAGAAATATCACTAATTAATTAATCAATAAATTACCCAAGAAATAGCACTAATTTATTAATATTCTAACAACTCTCTAAAGACTATACAATTGCTTTAGCTCCTTTATCTCGTAAATTATTTTCCCTATTACCATAAAAATAATAATTAATAATTGAATTAATTTCTCTTTCTTATTTATTTATATTTTTTAAAAAAATTAAAGAAAAGTTTGGATGTATATAAAAAAGTATGAATTAATTCTTTTTCTATTAAAAATTATGAACTATATAAAACAAGGATTATATTTTTAATTATCAAATAGTTCATAAGCTATGAAAATAAATTTTATAATCTTTGAAAAAAATTAAAATAAATTTAATACTATCAAATAAATTATATAATAGTATTAATTGCAATATAAAATTTTAAAAATAAATTACTAAAAACCTAGAACTAAATTAGTGATTTTCTAATTATTTTTTAGAGAATGTGCAATTAGTTTTGCTCCTTGATACCCAATGTTATTATTACTAGAAAACAACATCAAATTAATTAATTTAAATTTTTTAATTACATTAAAATATTGTTTTAAAAAATAATAATATTCAAGAATAAATTACTCAAGGCTTAAATCTAAACATGTAAGATTTTAAGAATTTTATAATTGTTGTGCTAGATATTTTGCTGCTTCATTATTTAAATTATTTGAACTAACAAAAAAAATAAATTAAATTAATTTAAATATAGAAAAATATAAAATATAAAAGTAAATAAAATGATATTAAATTTTAAAATATAATTACTCAAGATTAAGAGTTAACTCAGTGAGATTCTAAAATTTTTATAATGATTATGCTATGAATTTAATTTATTCTAAATTTAAACTGTTATTTCTAATTAATAATAAAATATAAAATATTGTAAATTAATTTCTAACTAAAATACAAATATTATAAAAATAAATAAAGAGAAATTTAATAAAAATGTAATAAAAAGATAAAATGTAAGAAAATCAAAAAACAAAAATATTAATTAATAAATTACTCTAGAATTAGTTTTAAACTACTAATTTGATGACATTTTTCTAAAGATGTAACAATATATTTAACACCTTCTAATTCAAAATTATTATCTCTTATTTGTAAATAAAATAAAATTAAAATAGCCTTTGTCAAAGTAATATTAGAAATAATTTAAAAGTAAATATAAATTAAGATATAAAATACTTTAAATTTAAAAATAGACTTGAGATATTCTAACACTATTCTAAAGCACCAGCTATTTATTTAAATTATTCATCTTGAATATTTTGACTGCTGATTAATAAATAAATAAATAAATAAATAAATAAATAAATAAATAAGTAAGAGTTAATAACCAACTAATAAAAATTGAAAAATAT